AGATTGCGAGTCAAGCGCCCTAACCACCTGGCCGTGCCAGGCCCTATTGTCTCTGAAAGAAACACTAAGAGACGCGCTTGTTAGAATAACGTACCTTTTTCTCTGCTTTACTTTGGGTTGGAACTGCAGTTCGTTGTTGGGGGTCAAATGCGCTTAATGATTTTGAAGAATGTTGCTTTGTGAAAGCTTTAGCGCATTCTGTAACGAAATCCCAACAGTTCTTTCCAAGTGGTAAATATGACCGTTGATTTTCGGAATAAATGCTAACAAAAGGTGGCGCTGATGAAGGAGAATTGTAATGAACACTGAGTCTAGGAGCTTTTCCGACCTGGTTGTTATGCAAAAAACTTTCTGTATGATATTCTATATTCTTGCTTTCATGGCCGTTAGTCAAATTATTTTGAGTAGTAGGAAATTCACTTGAATATGGCAGTTTAGGACGAAGATCCCTAAAACGTTTGGACTGTAAAAACGAGGGCTGTGGTTCAGAAGTGGTGTTAGTACCTGATTGATAGCTGTTTAATGTCTGGGAATCTTCTTTAATAGAGACCACTGATGGATTTCTTTTGGTTATTTGATTAGGCGAATTTGACTTTCCTGGAGAAAAAATTGACTCACTGGGTTTGGAAGTTTGAGGAATTACTACATTAGTTGTTGGTCTGAAGCTTACATTCCTAACACTTGAGACATTACTACCAATTACAGAAATCGGAGACTCAGTATCCACTGGTGGTGTGACTTTATGGGTATCACCGTCACTGTCCGAGCGGTTACTTGATAGGTTTGGTGACAAAGTGTCACGTTTTACGTTTTCAACGTTCTTAGAACGGTCTCGTTCTGTTAATAACGAGTCGTGTAAAGCAGGCTGTTGACCAGAGTATGAACAACGAATTTGCGCTACACTATCATCTCTTGAAAGAGGAAGTTCTTGCTCTGTGAAATCTCGTGCACAGGTCTCAGATGTATTACAGTGAGGAACGGCAAACTGCGAATGGTGTTTGGATAACCGCAGTTGTCGCACTTGAGATATGATTTCTTGCTGTTTTTCTATTCGATTTAGCTTTTCTTGTTTACGTTTACGATGTTGAAGGATTAATAATTTTTCTCGTTCTTTTTCAATAGCCTTTGAGTCCAAGTCAGAAATCTCTTTTCTTAATACCTCCATTCGTTCTCTAACAAACCGTAAACAGGATTTTCTTTGGTAAGTTGACAGAAGCTCATCTTTAAAAGATTGGTCAAAATCTTCGCTTTCCGTGTCATTCTCCTCATCACGAGACTTGTTTCTCTCTCGACAAAAGTCCTTTATTTCTGCTTCAAGATTACGTGGTACTGGATCACTGGATTCTACCATTGAGTCCAGACATACGTTCGGTTCTTCCAAAACACTGCTCTGTGAACTGGAAGAATGGCTTTCGGCAGTCTTCCTGAAAACACCTGTTCCTG